ATCTATCTACTGTTGTAATACCACTGTTATTATTGTGTTGTTTTTGTTTCGGATAACCTGTTAATTATGTGAACTTGGATTTTCATCATAACTTAATTATTTGAATCTCAAATTATATACAATATTAGATATACTTAGTTGATGTTCTAATGCAGTAGTAGGATATAGATTCCTAAAGTATCCGCATGCACTCTTGAAATAGGTTCAATCCATCTGTAGTTTAAGCTGAATAAGATTATATTCCTTTTTAGGACATAGCATGATGAGTTTAAGTGATTCCAAAGGACTCCATTACAAGACAGAAGTGATCCCCAAAATACACTCTCTCTCTTTCTCTCTCTGTTCGCGTGTGTGCTAGGGTTCTACTGGTATTTATAGATCCCCATAAGCTATATAGTAGTTACAATAAAAACTAAATAAAAATGAAATGATGCTGGGTACCCTTAGGGGATAACAGGGAACCCAATCAATGCATACTTCTTAACCATGGGCCTCTCTCTCTCTCCATTAACTCTTATACTTTGTATCCCTTAGGTTGAACCTCTCTCTCTCTCTCTCCATTAACTCATACTTTGGATCCCTTGGGTTGAACAGTGAGTCTATAGCTCTCTCTCTCTCTCCGTTAACTCTTATAATACTTTGGATCCCTTAGGTTGAACGACGAGTTCATCACAACTGTCCAACAACGTGGCGCTGCAATCATCAAGGCTCGAAAGCTCTCAAGTGCCCTCTCTGCTGCCAGCTCTGCTTGCGATCACATTCGTGATTGGGTTCTTGGCACTCCTGAGGTTATTACACTAATCTCTCTCTTGATTTCATCTCTTGTTTTTCTATTTCATCGATTTCATTGACTCTCATCATTCGAAAGATTATTATTATTTTATTATCTAATTGATATGGAAATACAATCCTTTTGGATCGACCTTGTGTCCTTGGTGCTTGGCCTGACAGCTAAATTCTTTTCTGTTATGTTATGTTCATATATGGCTAGTTATTCGATTCTTTACTTGTTTGTCTAGAATTTAATCTCATCTTTAGAAAACATGTTTAAAAATTTTGCCACCCACTGAAAAGGAATGTATATGATAAGCCTGTTGACTTTTGATATAAGTCACAATCATTATCAACTGCTAGGTGTGAAATCAGGTTGCTGAGGGTGTTACATTTACTAGGCACAGAGTCCAAAATAAAAATTTTCAAACTATACAGCGAACTTTAAGCTGTCAGATTTCACATCTAATAACTAATGGTGAGTGAGACGTTCTTGTACTAAAAAGTAAATGGCCTTGTAGTCTGAAATCCCTAATTAAAATTATTGTTCTTTTTGATAAATCTTGTAAATTATTTTATTTTATTTTTATTTTTTCTGACAGGGTACATGGGTGTCTATGGGAGTGTACTCTGATGGGTCTTACAATGTGCCCCCTGGTCTTATTTACTCCTTCCCAGTAACTTGCCGCAATGGAGAATGGACCATTGTTCAGGGTAAGCATTTTCGTTTCTTCCACTTTTATGAATCACTCTAATTTTGGAACACGGCAAAAAATGGGAAAGTGGGTAAAAAAAGGAATGAACTTTGGAAATACCATATCTGCATATGCAATTTTTGACTCTATATCCAATTGCCATTCACCTGGTTCCCAAGTCAGCTAGGCTATATTTTATAAAACAAAAAATACACTTGAAAATGAAGAGAATCTGGCGATTCCTGGGTTTTCAACCCAAAATCACCATATTCACTATGTGGTTTGACGGGCGATTCTCGAATCCAACAAATGAATTTTTAATCAGATCAGTATATCAGCCTATTCATATAAACTCTACTCAATCATCTCTCTCTCTCTTTTGCAGGTCTTCAAATTGATGACTTTTCAAGGAAGAAGTTAGATGCCACTGCTGATGAGCTGTCTGAGGAGAAGTCCTTGGCCTACTCATGCCTGAACTGATCACAGTATTGTCTTGTCTACCATTGTGGTTCGCCTCACCCCCCATTTCTCTTCTCTTCTCTTCTCTTCTCTTCTCTTTTCTCTCTGAGTCATTCAAGATTTTGAGTGCAATGGAAGTTTGAATAAAGCTCATGGAACTGTATTAATGGGGCCGTTACATTTTATGCCCCCTTTGGTTGTAGCTGTCAGGCAATAGCCCAAAGTTTTGAACTTCATAAGAGTATTTTTCTTCTTTCTTTGTTTTAACATTTGATATGACGCTGCATTTCATGATCATTCACAGGATCTTGTGTCTTCAAGAGAGAGAGAGAGAGCTTACGAGATGGTGTTTTCTCTTAGAGAGAAGTGATGTTTTCCTAGAGAGAGAGAAGTGTTTTCTAGAAACAGTGGCTTCAAAAGCAACGTTGCCCTTCAAACAACGACAAAAGTGCTGCAGTTATAGAAGCCATCGTCTTAGAAGCTGGACTTGTTTGTTTGGATCCAACAAATATTGTTTGGATCTTAGATTCTTGGAAACTTGGAGATTTGGGAAATAGCCTATTTTTAATTAGGGAAAATGACCTCTACCTCCTCTCCTGAACTTCCATCCCTATTAACCCAGCAAATCCCTTGTACCCCCTCAAGTTTAGAACTTTTGGACCGTTAGCCCCCAATTAAGTTTTTCTTCGTTATTTCTACCGCGATGATCTTTTCTTTCTTACAAAATGCCATACCCATCTATTAGTCAACGCCATTAACTTCATCTTTCTCTCGCCCTAAACCAATCTTACCTCCATGGGCCCCACACCACAAATGTAGACTTTCGTTTTTCTAAAATATTATTACCAATTTTACAATTGCATCAATATCTTTTGAACTTGAAAAATGATTAATCGATATCTTAATTCTTAATGTTAATGAATTAGTATTATTTATTTATTCATTTATTAAAGAAATTTATCAAAATACTTGTGAGAGATGAATTATTTAACAATTGATATATGGGTGTGGTTTGAATATTCTAAACAATGAAATTAGAGCCTACCTTCAAATAGTATCAAGAAATGTAGTTGCAATATTGGAAATTTTAGTGATTGTACTAAAATATATTTTCATCTTTATTTATAAAATTTAAAGCTTCAAAAATAGTGTAGATAAAATATATTTTCATCTTCATTTATAGAATTTAAAGCTTCAAAAATAGTGTAGATTGGCAGATTTATAAAGCATGAAAACCTTGAAAATTGATGGTCCACAAATGCTTTTTAAAAAATATACTATTTTCAAATTTTAAATCTATTTTTTTTTCATGTCCATATATGTTGATGTTGAGATGATCAATTCGAAGATATTTGGCCATCAAAACAACATGTCCAGTGAAATTTTTGAGGTAGGGTCCAATTTGATTGTTTAGAGCTTGGGTTTTATGTAAACTTTTTTTTGAATATATTATTGTTGTTATTTAACAATTTATATGGAGCCAACAATCAAAGTAAATCGCATCTTCAATTAGTGTTGACAAATGTGGATTCAATATTGGAAATCTTTGTGACACTTTGAAATATGTTTTTATTTTTAATTATAAAATTTAAAGCTTAAAAAATAGTGTTGATCGAGAAGATCTATGGAAACTTGAAAATCTAAAATATTGACGGTTCAAAAATGCGTTACAAGGCTTGAAATCGAATTTTTTCTCATTCCTATGCATCTTGATGTGAAAATAAACAATTTGAAGATATTTGGACATCAAAACAACCTCTTATAGTGAAATTTTTAGGTGGACTATAATTTAATTGTTTATAACCTCGGCTCAAAATAAACTTTTTTCCTACGTATATTATATATTAGAAGTTAAAAACTCTACTCTATATTACGTGCATTTTCTCATTTATTGATGATGAACTTGACTACCTAATGACTCGTGCTACCGAAGGAGAGACCTTCAGTCGTTTGTTTTAAACAACGGATCATTGACCCGGATCGCCCCATTGGGTTTCCTATCATCGGTGATACAAAAAAATCTAAAAAAAAAATTAAAATTTAAGTGGGTTCGCTTCTCTCCGATCTATCAAAGAATCAGCTAGTTCAATGATTAAAAAAATAAAAAATGTGGAGCTGCTCTGTACCAATTTTCTAAAAGAACCAGCCAACAGTTCTATTAAAAAACCGGTATGGACCGGTCGGATCCAGGACACTTACGGTTTTTGGTGTGTGTTGATACACTATGGAGCAATACCTACATCTATATTTTAGAAATCCAGACACGCATGACTTCGCATTTCTTCTTGAAATCTCACTGTAAAAGGAAGTTGATGTCACCTAAATTTAAATGTTTCCCTTTCTTAAATGGTGTAGGGACGTATGACAGGAAGCAAGTTTTGATATTAGTGCTTCCAACATTTGTTTTCCATATCAAATGCTAACACGCACGTAGGAATCTCCCGACCATATGCAACCTCTTCATGACTTGCCCTTTAACACATCCAAGCGATGGTTTAAAAAAGTGGATCGGTGACCCGGATCTTGCATTTCAAAAATCGATCCGGATAGACGAATCGGCGATCCGGATCGGGAATCGGCTGAATCGGTGAGGTTAAAGCTTCAAAAAAATTATTAAAATTCATTATAAATATTTTTTTTAGGAATCCAATAAGAATTGAAGGTACTACATTATTAACTTTTATTTTTTTTATCAATTTGTGAATATTGAGATGTTCTTTTCCTGTATAAACTTATGTTAACAATTAAATTTGCATCACATAAAAGAAAAATTATAGAATTATCATAGATAAAATATATAATTATACATGGACTATTATAAAGAGTAGACTAATCAATGAAAGAATGACCATTAAAATCTCGTTTTGACGAAAAACCCTAA